TGTAATGTCCTCTTGTAAACTTTACGCTATCACACTCCATGTTTGGTAATTTGTACATTATGAGTTGATTGCACATCGGTCCAATGAGCTGTGATGTGGGCGGGGCTTCCTGCTCAACGCGCATGCGCACACACACAAACCATAACGCTCGTCGGAAACAAGAGCTGTGAAGAGAAATGCAGAGAAGTATGAGAGGGTGATACTCTGGGAATAAAAAATGAAAATAATAATTAATAATCATAAATCTACATAATAATTATTTCCCCTTGAAAAATTAATTTAAGGCATTACTCTTCATTGTTTTGTAATTTACTTAGTTACTTCTGATGTAAATGCATTAAATACTGTGTTGGCTATAGAACAAACAAAAGCGGGTGTAATATCTAACGTAATATTGCCTATATTTTTATGTAATTAGCCTATTTAAATACTTTGGTAAGGTCAATATTTATCCATGCAATTTTATATTATTTATTTGAAATAATTAAAAGAGCAGTTTCATATTTTGTATTTGTTCAACTGCTAAATGTTGATATGGGACTTAAAGTAATAATGCAATTTGGATAGATTAAATAGTAGGTCTATAGGCCTAGTAATATAATTACATTGTGTAATTAGTAGCTAGTAATTAATTTGTTGTGTTGATTGTTAATGATTGTTTTTGTTGTACATTATGTCTATGTCTATATGACTTTTGATATGATAGCAGGGAATTTACATTCAAATGAATATTTATAAAGAAAAGAACTGTGTTGAATACATGTTTGCAACTGAAATTCTTAAAATAAAGCATTTATTGACTATTGTGCGCCATCATGTTGACTTTCGGTAAAAAAAAAAAAATGTTGGTTGCAATGTCGTTGTAAGGTCACTAGGAGGCGCTGCAGACTTAATAACACGGCAGCTAATCTTGGCTGCTGCGTCTTTTTCTTGTAAATATTAGCCTACTGTAGCCCATTCATACCTAAACAAAACATTTCCCTCACTTTGCTAACAGTCCCTGGTTTACTGACTTGTCATTTAACGGAGGCTTTCTTTTATCCAAAGTTACACTTATAATTCAGGGACAGTCCCCTTGGTAAGTTAAGTGTTGCTCCAGACCAGACCAGGACACAATGGTGGTAGTTCATGGATTGAATTGTTTGAACCTACAACCTTTCATTTGCCAGTGGGCCACACCTGATTGCAGAAGACAACAGAGACATGAACAAAAGTCTACGTATACTGTACTGCATGATGTTCAGAGAATACCGAATTAAAAAGAACTCACATTTAGTCGATTTTCCTCAACACTGACTAGGAAGTTAATAATAATTCTTGCAAAACGTAGGCCTAACATTAACTTTGTGATGATTTCACAAATCAATCATTTCAAAAGCACAACTTATATAAACTATAATCTCAAGAGTGTGAGCGTTGAGGTATGAAGAGTTCAGATGCAAAAGCCTCTAAATGCCATTTGAAATTTTCTTCTTGAATGATGATTATCAAACTTGTATATTTAAGTTCACTTAAATAACAATTAATAGGTAATTATCATTGCCATTTAAGTGAAATCACTGAACTTAAATATACAAGCTTGATAAAAATTATCATTCTAGAAGAAAATTTCCAATGGCACTTAGAGGCTTCATATATTTGTAAGGTGTTCACTGTGAAATGGGTGTAACTGATCAGCACTTTAATTCTTTAGACCGCAGGAAGGAACTCATTCACATTTTTGTCCTGGAAATGAAATGCATTGGTTTACATGACAAGTAAATGTGTTTCTAAATTCAAAAAATGTAAACCATTTTCTTTTAGGAACAGGTTAAGGGTGTGGGCTTGGGTTAGTCTGTAATCATCATAATTGGATGTATATAAAACAACAAAAGTCTATGGTATGTCCTCATTTAGATAGCCAAGAAACCATGTGCGTGTGTGTGTGTGTGCTTTCATAGGGTTGACAGATAATAGATTTGAGTCAAAGCCATCTAAACAAGATGTTTGCTTATTATAAACCGTAATATATGTGGTTCAACCATCTTCAGTCCCTTCCTTGTGTCTGATTTTGATCAGGCTGTGATTAATCAGGAAGCTTATCTTCCTTTAAGAGTTGATTTACTGGTTTGCAAAGAGTCATTTCCATTTCACATGTGAGGTGAATCGACTTACATCACTGAAATGACTATCCTGTGTCATTACTGTATATTTTAGTACATATATTATTACACAATAAAAAATAATGGATTTTTTTTAAAGCTTAGACAGCATCAACTGTTCAATGTTCCTTAGAAGTCCATGTTGTAATTGTAAACCAAAACAACATTTTTGAAAATTATTTTCGTTAGAAATAAAGCTGGAATAAAATAAAAGAACAAACTTACAGAAATCCTGCCTTGACAACTAACTGAAACAAATAAATGTATTAAAAATACAAAAGATGACTAAAATCACAAATTAAGGCTAATAAAATGACCAAAACAAATCCTAAACCTTGAATATAAAAAAGTAAAATGCAGAAGGTGACTTAATTTCCCGTTATCCGAGCCAGATTTGTTAAATGGATCGGTTCTTGGACATTATAGTTGCTCACTTCAGCGGCTTATCGTTTCATCCAAGGCTTTAGCGCCAAAAAAAGACCAGAGAAACAGCATTTCCCCCAGTCATCAAGGCAGAAAATACCCGTCTATGCGAGTAATTCCCAGGTTTGCTATAGATAGTGCCCTGTAAACACACACATCCCTTCAAACCCCACAGACCTGATCCAAGATCAGTTTTAAAGTGCAAAAGACCAGTTCACCTTCCTCCTGTCTGGAGCCAGGCCAGTAGTAATGAGGCAGAGCGCAGGGGCGTGGATGTGATAAAACAGGCAAAACAGCTATATCTGTGTTCCACAAAGATACGACAAACTTCACAGAACGAAATACAACAGAATATCAGATAACAACAAACTTGATTCATAAATAAGTATTTATTTCTATTACTTTAAAGGATACAATCCACTAAGAACTATTCAGTTTGGGTAAGAGGACAATGTTAAATACTTTTACACATCACAACATACTGTTTTGTCAGTGCACTTTGCTTTATATCTATATTTTAATACACACACACACACACACAACACAGCAGAGATGTCTATTTCTTCTTGAACCTGCCTTCATTTTTAGGTAAGACTGCAAAAGGAAAATAAAAACAATGTAAACATTTTTTTTTTTGATACAGAAACTGGTAAAATAAACAAAAAAGGAAAAAGCATGGCATCAAATGAGTTCAAATCCCTTTGAGGTGGAAAGTTGCATTGACCTCCGAGCGTCCAAACAGCATGTCCTACTCTCGTCTTTTCAAATTGCATGGAAATTGCTACATTTGCCGAGTTATCACGATGGTTCTGGAAACAATATAGAATAATAAAACATCTCATTCACCAGCTGCCAGCAGCCAAAGTCTCAGGTGCCCACACCCATTGTAATCACGTCTGACAGGAATGCACGTACAGTAACAGGAAGATCAGTATGTGTGAGCTTGGCCAAACGCAACACATATGGACTTTAACTCCACATAGCTCTTAAAATCGGTCGAAGTTGCGTTTTCATTGAGGAAGTGTTAATGACTGACTGTAGGGAATGGGCAAAACATAAAAGAAACACAGATCAGGGGCAACTGTTTCCTCGTACGGACTCGGGAGATCGTTGTCGTTGAGTCTTTGTAATCCGTAGTTGGGAACTATAATGGGAGGTAGTACTCGAGAAAATCCTATTCCAGACAATGGCTCACAGCTTCACGTGGAGACAGCACTTTAAAAGATGAGATAAACACATTCACAGGTTGCTTTTTGTGCAACAAAAGAACACACTACACCTCAGCAAGAAGCCAGGGATTGGAAATACTCCGTTCATTCAGAGGGCAACATTTCAGCTGCCGTTTTAAGCAGCTTATAAAAGCAGTGCCAAAATCGGGCAAATGTAACACATTCAGCTCCCGTCTCACTCACACACTCGAGCAATACTTAGCCTGCTCCTATGTAACACACACACACACTACACGTTTTACAGACAGGCCACACAAAAGCGCACTAAAGAGGCTGAGAGAAAGAGCTGCGAAATTGCGTACACGCAATGCAAAAAGATGGAATAACCTTCACTTAAAATGCCGGCCGCAAAAAAAAGCCGGGCTGCTTTTATACTTCATATATGGTAGACGACATAAACGTACAGAAGAATTACTGACCCTATGTCCCCGTGATCGGATGAACGTTATCATCAAGGCGATATAAAATGAGACTACGAAAATTTACAACACTGAAGAATGGAGGTACCAGACCAGCTAATACCCAACAACTGCACCATGTCATCATTTCAACACTTACATTTCACATGAACGATGAAATAAAAATCGTAATTTCCGAGCTCGCTCTGAGAGAACTAGGTTGAGAGCAAAACAAGAGAAATCCCAGTAACTGCAATTCATACGTAACTCGCTCGAATTTACGAGCGCTACAGCAAAACCGCAACAAAGCAGCGACAAAGTCTTCGGACAAACGTGTCCCAAGTGAAAGCTTCGGGCCTCGAACCCGGGTCTCCGGCATCTCTAACAAGGAGGCTAAAGACTGCAGCCGCTAGCATCTGTCGCTAGAGCGCCTATTGAGATCAGGGGAGTGAGGTTTACTCGCTAGCTGGCCTCCGTTACACTCGCCCCCCCTAAACCTCACTCTCATCCGGGTCACGGCACCAATGTAACCCCTCCACCCGGGTCCTACTTCGACCCGCTCCGAGCGGGCCTCGAACCTGGGTCTCCGGCATGAGAGTCGGGCGCTCTAACAAGGAGGCTAAAGACTGCAGTCGCTAGCGCACCTATTGAGATCAGGGGAGTGAGGTTTACTCGCTAGCTGGCCTCCGTTACACTCGCCCCCCTAAACCTCACTCTCATCCGGGTCACGGCACCAATGTAACCCCTCCACCCGGGACCAACTCGGCCTCGAACCCGGGTCTCCGGCATGAGAGTCGTGCGCTCTAACAAGGAGGCTAAAGACTGCAGCCGCTAGCATCTGTCGCTAGAGCGCCTATTGAGATCAGGGGAGTGAGGTTTACTCGCTTATTTCACACCAAGTCTATTTGGTGCGTCGTTTTCTTTTTGCCTTGACAGTCCCAGTCCGAACTCGAATCGGAGGCATCCGCGCCTCGACCCGCTGTGCTGCTGTCCGTTAAATACTTCTCGTGTTTGTCCAGGTATGGCGGGCGCTGTGGCAAAAGGAAGTAGTGCGTGTTGCTGGCTTTCCTGCCATTCTCCATGACGGGCAGAATGCACGGGGAGCCTTCACTATTCTGCCGTTGCAGACCGCGACTGACGTATTTGGGATCTGGGGCGAAGCTCTGGGTAGGGGGCATGATCCCGTTGAGGTACATTGGGAGGCTCTTTGGGCTCGGGGTGCGGGAACTACTGGTGGAGAAAGGTTCTCTAGGGGGAACTTTGGGGGGCCGGTCATCGTCACTGTTGGCTCCCGATGAGACTTCGGCTGACCAGCGCCGGTGGTCTCCCGTTTTGATAGGTCGTGGGGGAATAGGAACTCTCGGAGGAACTTCTGGTTTATCCAGGCCTTGTGTATTCCGGTGGTGACTGGATAGCCGGAAGGAGGTGGATTTGTTGAAGCAAGCCGGGCCAGAATGGGATCGTTGCAGCTTTCTTTGCGTACGTTTCTCCTGCTGTCTGAGACAGTTCTGTTGTTGCTGTTGCTGGTCGCGGAGCTCCTGTTCCCTCTGTTGGGTTTCCCGCTCCAGCCGTAGCTTCTGCTGCTTCAGCTGGGATGTCGGACCTTCAAAGTAGGCGTAGTTAATCTGTCCACAGCCCCTGAAACTCCTCCTACTAGGCATTCCATACCGGAAAGGAGAGTGTTTGGAGCAAGGTTCGGAAACCAAGCAGCGATTGTCATCCCCGTTGAAGAACTCTACTTCACTGTCCACAACCTGATCCGGTGAAAGCTCATCTGAACCGGGAATTGGAGGAAGGGGTTTGGTGACTCGGCTGGGCGTCTGGGGAGGACTGATGCGCTCAGATACGGTTAGACGTTGAAAGCAGGGAACCACTTGGTCGTTTTTGGCAGGGCTAGACGTAGAAAAGTCTGTGTGCAAGGTGAGCTGGGAAGGTCTGGGCTTTTTGGGGGGCAAGGGCTGGCCTCCTGGGCTGTTTGGTGATTGAAGATGAGTCCGCTGTTCTGTTTGAATGGAAAGATGGCAGAGAATGAGAATACAGCAGGTTTAAGACTGAAAATAATCAATAGCTTGTTTTCACGTGACGTCACGCCACTGCGTTGCCATGGCGCGAAACGCAGATGGAGGGCTGGAAGTGATTTTCTATATTTAGGAAGCACTATAACGCACTCAAAAAAAAGGTACGAAAGCTGTCACTGGGGCGGTACCTTTTCAAAAAGGTACACTTTTGTACCTAAAGGTACAAATATGTACCATCAAGGTACCAATATGCACCCTTTAGGTACAAAAGTGTACCTTTTGAAAAGGTACCGCCCCAGTGACAGCTTTCGTACCTTTTTTTCTGAGAGTGTATGGTTGCTCAAATCGATCAAACCACGAGGAGTTTTTATCGTGTGCCCAAAGTTGTTGTTCATAAGGGGGGAAAATATAAGAAATTGACAGAAAAACACTGGGAAAAATGCCTTGCAAACCTACGTCTGCGGTCGGGAGGAGCCGAATGGGAAAATGCCTGTGTGTGTGTGTGCAGTGATCACTTCGTCAAATGTGAGTTAATTCATTATTTATGTGGCTTATGGTGTTTAAATACACTTATGTGGCTGTTCGTGTAACGTACAGGTTTCCGAACTTTGTAAAGTCAAAGTATGTCTGTAAGACGAGTTAGATGCTGATATCTACAGGCAAATCTCTCAATTCAGTTGAAAATCGCTCCTCTTCATAACGTAAGGATCACGTCCAACATGTGTTTCGATTTTCTGTTTATAAATTTCTCTTGTAATTGCGTCTAAAGTGGTACAGTACGGATTTTCCTCCATCTCGTCCATTGCGCTCTTCACTCCTTGCCCTCCATCTGCATTCCTCGCGTCAACACAATCACGTGACTGCAAACCACCTATTAATCAACTTATATCTTTGCATTGCTTTGACGAATCAAAGATATTTTGATAAGTTCCCCTAACTGTTGCCGTCCCTATTCTGATCGGACCGATGGTTTTAAGAAAAATCTGGATAGTTAGGATCCAAAATACAAATTAACTTTTAGCGCCACCTAGTGTCAGACGATTGTGTGTGCATGAGTAGTGGGGCAAGTTTGGGGTCTCTGCGATCTACGGTCTCTGATGCACTTTCACTTTCAGGACAGATAAATAATAAGAAGAAAACCAGTACCTATTGTTCTTTAACGCAAACTTTACAAATCACTAGATGTAGCCGCAAGTGGAACAAAAAATACACTTCCTCTTAAAACAGTATTACATTAAGTTATTTTACATTTGGCAGGGACTTTTATCCAAAGAGCATTTCAAGAAATATCAGTTTGAGCATTCCCTGGGAATCAAACCCCGTGACCTTGGTGTTGCTACCAGTTTAAGGAATAGTTCACCACAATTATTGTTTATTTCAAGTCGTTGCAAAATAATATACTAAAAAATACAAGAGGATAATTTCGTGCAACTCTTTCTATACACAGACCGTTCACCTCTGTCCATCTCCAAAAAGGAAATTGCAAGAAAAGCAGCGTAAAAGTATCACACACGCACTATATTTCACTAAATTAGTCTTCTCGAAGATGTCGCATGTTGAATACTCTACTACTTTGAAGGTTTAATATGGTGCAGCTGGACAGTCATGGTTGCTATCAATTTTCTTTTTATGTATTACAAAAAAATTGTTGGGAAGAAAATACACCATAGAAGTTTAAGGAGTGAACTAACTAATAATGATGAGACTTATGTTACTTACTTTCCGCTCCTGAAAATGATGGCAGCACCTGTTGCTGAGATTGATGGTTAAAATCCCTGAAGCATAAGCTGCAAATTAAGAACAGGAAAGCCAATCAGATTAGTGCACAAATCCAAGGTTCATTAACATCATGAAAAAAAAAAACACTTTTCTGCTCAGTCATGCAATGCATGTCCAAGGTCTTATAAAAATGAATACATTTTCAACTCTGAAAACATGTGAAAAATTTTGCACTCACTTGGGTAGATCATGGTATTTCCAAGAGGGCTTAGCTCCGGCCATGCTATGCCAATGGCTGCCCCGCAGGAAAAGGCTTTGCGCGGGTAAACAGATCTCCTGGGCCGTCAAGCCTGCAGTGGACATGCTCCAGCTGCAGTCGGTTCGCATTCAGGCCAGGAAATGTTCCTCCCGCCAAGCTGGCAGCTGCTGGCCTGTACCTGAAACACAGCCACGAGAGGACGAGAGCATGAATCTCTGGAATATAGCTTCTCAGATTTTCTTTCTTAAAGAGAAAAGGACCTAAATTGTAATGCATCTTATCCAGAGCTCTTACACTTAAGAGCTTATGATTGAAATTGAGACCTTTCCAACATCTCATTTTTTCTCCTATACTGCAACGAGCTTAAATGGAGATCAAATTGAGACTTTCCGAGGAAAAATGCCCTCGTTGAGAGACGTTGAGGTCTCTCCTGAAACTCAAGAGATCTCAATATGTACTCAAACATTTCTAAATCAAAATGATCCACTTCCATTATATAGCCTAACTCTCTACTCTTACTGTACATCAGCCAGTGTCTTTTTTACAATTACGATTTACAATTACAATTATGCATCTGGCAGACGCTTTTATCCAAACCAACTTATTGCATTCAAGGTACACATTTTTTTTTTAATCAGTTCTTGCTTTCCCTGGGAATCGAACCCATGACCTTAGTGTTGCTAGTGCCTTGCTCTACTGATTTAGCTACAGGAAGATACTAATACAGACAAGTGAAATTTTCCAGTGAGATCTCCCTATTAACTACAAGCATTGCCTTAAACTAGAGCCAGACCGATATATCGGCCGATATTAGGCATTTTCCAATATATCGGTATCGGCAGTTATAATGGCCGATAAATGAATATTTAAAAAATAAAATAAAAATGGACGAAACACGCTTTAATCATCTCTCCTTGGCCTGTTATATTGAAAATGTATGTTTTACAATTTGCAGTATGATGTTATCTATTGCTAAATTAGACTAGCTAACCACAAAGCTATAGCTAATGCCACTATAATCAGTGGAAGACCGCTAACGTTAACATTAATGAGCTTGGAAACCACAATGAACTTTTTCTGCCTAAATAAAGTAATGATTACTGTATTTATAACTAGCATATCTCTAGTTACAGTCCCTGCATTGTAAAATGTAAGTTATACTTGCGAGGAGTGAACATTTAGACATAGAGGAAAAAGTATCAAACGTATCTTGTGCAGAAAAATTAGCTTTTCTTTTACACGACGTGTGTGAAATCCAACAATATTTAATAATTAAAAAAAAAATATCGGCCGATATATCGGATTTTAAAACCCAAAAATATTTGTATCGGTATCGACCTCCAAAATCCAATATCAATCGGGCTCTACCTTAAACTCCTAATTACTGCTTATAATAGTAAGCATTAAGGTGATTGTTATGTTAAGGTATTGGGACGGATTAGGGGATGTCGAATATAATCATGCAGAATAAAGCATTAATATGTGCAAATAACCAGCAAAATAGTAATCAATGAGAATTGGACCCTAAACTAATACCGAACATGCAAAGATCACCTAGGCATCATTGCAATGGTTTTGTTGTTGTTGTTGTGAAAAAACAGATATCTTGTCAAGCCGTTTATGGAGCCCAGGGCTTTCAGCACACCATCAATTCACGTCCTCCTCGCTTCCCCTCGCTTTGCAATGCAGTCAGCCATGTGCACGGGACTCCAGTCGCGCTCTTTAGAGAAGAACATTGAGCAACATTCTGCTGAGCTTCACAGCCTGTGGTATGACAAGCGTTCAGTTTGACATGTATGCCCCCAAAGCCTTGAGGATAGTGCCAAACTGAATGCTCTCACACACAGATACAAAACAGCCCACATGTCACGGCAAGACTCATGCTCAAAAAATACTGCGGTGCACAATTTATCAGTTTTCTGCGTTAGATGAAATATTGCACTGGAATCTTGTCCGCAAGCACGATTGTGCAAATGCTATTCTCACAGAGGAAGTCTAATATCAAAGTATATGTGCAAATGAGTCTCAAATTTCCTGCCTCGGGAACACATCTTGTGTTTAAAGGAAATTGCATCTCCTATTACTATTTAGTGCAACACACAGCAGTTGCTTCGAGAGTAGAATCCAAAAAAACACTTTTCACTCTTTGAGAAACCAGCTTTACACCCTTGAGAACTTGAAGAGTGATGGACCTGGAGGCAAGGTTCATCCTGGTTTTAGCTTACAAACACATATCACGCTCACAAGCTATCAAATCGCCAACATTACGACAGTCTTCCAGTGATAAAACAACTCATGTAACCTATTACAGAGCAATTAGCATTTTTATAGAACAATTTATTGCAGGGCTGTTTTACAAGGCAATGCATTTCTGCAGAGCTGATTGTGATATGTATGCAATAGGCGCATTAACAGAATCAATATTACACTGTAATAACCAATACAGATTTGTACATGATGTCAAAGAAAGCAATGCAATGCCTCTTCATAAATGGGTATGTGCTTTGACCGTCCCTGATCCGGTGCATAAATGCAAACAGTTTTGCCTCCTGAAAGCTTTGGACCTTGGATACGGTCACTATGAGCACACAATGCAACCTGATCTGTGATAAAGAAACCCACGGGACGAGCGCTTCCTCTCACAACAGGTGCAAGACGGACAGACTTCCTAGTGTCCGGCGGCACAGACTTTTCTCGATGCTTTCGGGAAGACAATGCCAGTGTGTTGCACAGACGTCAAGTAAACAAAGCGTGCAAAATGTGTTCGCTGTGGCATAAAACCTCCTTCAAAACACTTACAGATGCATATTTACTAATTCTACCCTCTTTTGCATTTAAATCTGAGATTATGGAGATATTTGGTTGCATTGTGCAAGAAATGCATCACATTTCTCTCAAAACTTACAAAGCATTATGTGTTTATTTATTTTTTAATTAAATCAGCATTCAGGCCACATGCAACATATACTGCAATGATACAATAATCTTTTTATTTCTTATATGCATTACAGTAAATAAAATTACAGAAAACAGTTTTGTATTTGGAAAATCATGTCAGAATGAAAATAAAGTACTTTACACTTTACAGTCAGGTTCAATTTGTTAACATGAAAAATACGTTGCTCATTGTTCGTTTCTATAATATTAACTAGCCTACAACAAAAATAGGCTTTAATTCCTTCATGCAATATAATGTCTTAATTTTGCTGTGAAATGTGGACATGTTCTTGACAGATAGCATCTGATGGAAATACCTGAAATACTGCTTATAAGCACACAGCACTTTAAAATCTACTGTAACGTGTGCATATTCAGAACACAAACACACACCCCGTCCCCTTATTTTGACCAACAACAACAAAAAAAGGTCCAATAATAAAGTGTAAAGTCATTGTACATGGACATAAATTACGAAATATCTGCATCCTGACAAACTACCGATATGACATTGTAAGAAGGTATGAAGGAGAGACAGTCTCGCGCGTTCACACCCCGCCGCGGTTTCCAGGCAACCATACCCGATCTACCTGTCCGCTTCCGCAAACTGGCGGGATGAGTCACTTAAACTCTATCACACCTGACGAAACACACCTCACACATTTCTTTCAGATAAAAGACTGATGTTCCACGAGATGAAGCAACATGGATTTCATCGTCACATATTATGACGCTGCAGTGGGATTTTTATCAGCTGATAATCATCAGTTTTGTTGTTATTGTAATAACAAACGCTTAAAAAGTTAAAAAAATGAAACGAAAATATAAATTAAATAGTAATGATTTAATACGTAAATAAATAAATAAAATTGTTTTAGAACGATGGCTGCGATTCCCTCCTAATTGAGCGCACACTCTTTATCAGATGTCCTGTCACAGAATCTGATAATATCGTTACACACGTCACTGTCGTCATCAACACTCACGCACACACATAGCGAGACAGACAGACCACAAACACTGTAGCAATTTAGCAAACACATTAAAATTCACCTTAATCTCCTGGTAGATTCTAGGAGTCCCGTATTAAATGATCATAATGCCGTAATGATCCCGTTCGGTCCGTTTGAAAGCTGTACTGTATCTCTATGGATGCGCGAGGGCTTTCATTACAGCGGTCGAGTGCTTCGTTAAACGGGTCTCAGTGTGCGCGGTGCTTTAAATGCTCACTGCAGTCAGAGGACGCGCAAGCCACGCCCCCTCAGACGGGATTTAAAGACACAGTACACACAATGGTGTTCTATATGTGTCCGTCTCTGCATCATTGTTACGCTTTCGGTGTTATGTATTTGTTTAGACTATTTGTTATATATATATATATATATATATATATATATATATATATATATATATATATATATATATATATATAAATTAGGGCTGTCAAATGATTAATCACGATTAATCACATCCAAAATAAAAGTTTGTGTTTACATAATCTATGTGGGTGCACTGTGTATAATTATTTATATATATAAATACACACACATGCATGTATATATTTAAGAAATATTTTCATGTATATACTGTATATGGATTTTAATATAATTTATATTATATATAAATATACATATTTATTTATATATAATAATGTTTTTTTCTTAAATAATATACATGCATGTGTGTGTATTTATATATACAAAGTAATTATACACAGTGCACCCACATATATATTGTAAACAAAAACTTTTATTTTGGATGTGATTAATCGTGATTAATCATTTGACAGCCCTAATATAAATATGAGTGCCATTTGAAATTTTCTTCTAAAATGATCATTTTTATCAAGCTTGTATATTTAAGTTCAGTGATTTCACTTAAATGGCAATGAAGATTTCCTATTAATTGCCATTTAAGTGAAATTACTGAACTTAAATATACAAGCTTGATAAAAATTACCATTCTAGAAGAAAATTTCAAATGGCATTTAGAGGCTTTTGCATCTGAACTCTTCATACATATACAGTATATATATATATATATATATATATATATATATATATATATAACACATTTTCGTTTGGGGGACGGTTTGGGGGACAGTAATACTGTGAAATATTTTTACAATTTAATAATATACTTTCAAATATCATTTATTTCTGAGATGCAAAGTTGAATTTTCAGCATAGTTTTTTTATTGCACAGCTTTTGACATCAAACACAAAAGGTATGAGAACTGTTTTTCCAGGTTGATAAGCCTGTAACTGTCCATCATCTTACCGTGCACAACCTGCACCCGCTGAAGTCCGCTGTAAACATGCACAAACACTGGAATGAGATCTGTTCATCTCACGTACACATGGGCATCAGATAAGACTGAATCAGATGTGTATTATATATGATATACAACAGCTGTTATCTACACCACAGACCATAATGAAGAGACATCACCAATATCCCTCTAGCCTGCAGACAACACGGGCTCCATCATCTCGACAGCAGGTAGATATAATGTAGCAGTAAAACATCGCAGTGTTTGCTGTATGTTCTTTCTTATCAGCAATGGAGCCACCTTTATGTCTGTCTCAATGTCTGTGTGGGTTCACCGGGGCCGTGATCCCTTATTTTCTTCATTCTGTGCATTAAATGCCTCTGTTTGCACGTCTCTCTGAGGTTCTGTATAGCCTTGCATGGTCTTGTCTGTCTGTTCAAATAAGTCTTCTTGACTCCAGGGACTGTCATGTCATGTTAGCAGTCTGTCTGGTTTTAGCTAATGTTTATTTGCTGTGCTGTCTGCCTCAAAGCCACATTTTTTATACTTTATGGTTATATCATGTTTTAATATTTTTGATGCACAGGTTTGTTTAAACTACGGCTCTGAAACAAACCCTTAATAATCTATTTTCTGACTCAGGTATTGTGTTTTTAATAATAGAGAGGAAAAGGGGATTTCAATTTTAATAGCGCTTTACTTTGGGGAAAAACAAAGACAAGTTTCTATTTAGGCAAAACAGACCATTTGTTAAGGCTAATAGTCTAAACTAAAAAAAAAGGTTTATCTTTTTGGAAATGCATTTGTGTTGTGCATGGATTAGTGGCTGTGTGCTGTTATTTTTTTAAGTGTGATTTTTAATATTTTGATGAGTTTATGTAGCATATTATATTATTTACTGTTGAATATATCATATATATATATATATATATATATATATATATATATATATATATGAAGAGTTCAGATGCAAAAGCCTCTAAGTGCCATTTGAAATTTTCTTCTAGAATGATAATCACGCTTGTATATTTAAGTTCAGTGATTTCACTTAAATGGCAATGATAATTACCTATTAATTGTCATTTAAGTGAAATTACTGAACTTAAATATACAAGTTTGATAAAAATCATCATTAAAGAAGAAAATTTCAAATGGCATTTAGAGGCTTTTGCATCTGAACTCTTCATATATATATATATATATATATTTATATATATATATATACACACACACACATACAGTCTGCAATGTCACATGATCCTTCAGAAATCATTCTAATATTTGCTGCTCAAGAAACATTTATTAATGTTAAGCATTTTTTCCCAGGACTATAAAGTTCAAAATAACTGCTTTTATTCAAAAAAAGAAATCTTTTGTAACAAAATAAGTCTTTACTATCACTTTTTTAATGAATTTAACACATCCTAGGTGAATAAATGATACATATCTTTGAAAAAAAGAAAGAAAGTTTTTTTTAAGTGAAAGCTGATCTTTTAAACCCTGCTATATTCATTAAAAAATCACATGTATGAACCTGTATTCAGAAAATGTAAGCAGCACAACTGTTACGGAAATTGTTAATAAATCATCATATTAGAATGATTTCTGAAGGATCATGTGACACTGAAGACGAGTTGTGTTTTTTAGCGACTACTGTGGACCGAAAACAGGAAGTATACGGGTATGTGAGCTGGCTGATTTAACATCATTTTTATTAATATCTTTCACATCTACTGCAGTCAGATTGACCGTGGTCACTCTTAATAACACCATGCACTCGTAATGACAAGTCAAGGATGTTAAGAGGCTAAAAGCAGGTTTAGAAATCAACAGGGTGCCAATTTTAAAAAGAGGAGAACACGGTGTAGGCAACAGCGATTTTTGTCTGTACTGAAAATGTTACTCAATGTTAAAATTGACCGGAGTTCTCCTTTAAAATATACAGGCCAACATGGACAAGATGAGTAACACATTCACTCATCCTCAAAAACCATGAAAACTTCTTGAGATAAGAAAACATGCATTCTACATTAAATACAAGCTAAAATTAGGACAAACATGGTTTATGTTTTCATGTTTTTGTATTTATTATTACTGCATGAACCCACCACTAAACACAACAAATATTTTAAAAGTGTTAAATGAAATCTGGCAGCTCACTAAGGCTACTTTAACTTGTATACTGAGAGTGAAGCCTTGCATACGGTCAAACACAATGCCACACAAAAAAAACTCAAAGCGCTAAACAAACAGAGCCGAGAGGCAGGAATGCAGCAGGAACAAAATGTGCTTGTTACAGTGTTGCAAATCTCCGTGTCTGGCCTTGGCCCCCCAAACCCAACAGGCTTATCATCCGATATTTGGCCGTGGATGAGCCGACTCGCTTTAATCCCCTTATAATTTCAAGAACATTCCTCACATTCCAGCGGACCAGTTGTGGCCAGCAGGAGAGCGAATGAACCGTCCATTTTTGACACAGAATGGTGAACGTGCATGCGATGCGTGAATCGATTGTTAAGTTTGTGAGTGTACATGCGGGTCCATAACAGCATTTAATTGTGAATTTGTGCACATGTGCATTCAATGCAAATGTTCATGTAAAAGAAGCAGTTCAAGTAGCCCATTATTTGCATTTGTCTATACATTAACCCAGCTAAATCAGAAGTTGTCCATCCGAAATTGCTTGCATTATCACAGGAATAAAAGCCAACTGTTCCTGTGTCATTCGATGCACCTCGCTTTGCAATCAGGTGTGTAGACAGAACTGAACTGATCTGAGCTCAGATTGCCTTGTGTTGATGGCCATGAACTTTCCTCCGTTGCCAGATCCCTCCCAACTCCCGCTTCTCATACACACACACACACACACATACCCAGAACACACACTCCACTGTTGATATGATGTCATCCTATGCACACATAGGAAGTGCCTTATAAAGTCAGGCTGTGCACCTTTGGAGCAGAAAGGGTCACTCAACCAGGCTTGAAACCATAACATCACAGTGAGGTGTTTCTTACAAAAACATATTTTTGTCTCATGGTACGCCTATTAAAAGTGTTTATATTTTAGAGCTGTCTGGATGATATTACTATAAGCCACCGTGTTTACGAGGATACTTAATGCATTGTGCATTTTTGTGCATGTGCATGTGTCCGTTCATGCACAAATGTGCCCATTTGCGTCGATCTTAGCACTTAAATCGTTTGAATGTTTAAACTCTAAATTACGTGATAAAAAAATATATAAACTTTCCCTCTATGATGGTTAAACTTTGCATTTACCTGCCAAGGGACAGCGGATGAAAATTAGCCAGTGCGGGCTAAATCTTGCGCATTTTACATTATGTATTATTAACGTGCAATGTGCCTGATTAAATAAACGAGTTGTAAAATAAATAAAATAAAACGAAACCCTTGAATCACATTCATTTCGAACCACGAGGCCTGGTCCGTATGGATCCCTATACTTGATATTGTTCATTCACGCCACCATATCGATGCTATAAAGATATATATATACGTATATATCGTGTGTCCCTAATTTGAAATGTTATAAAAGCGATGCAGAGATGGCATATTTATTACTCAACAGGTGAGTAAGGTATTTTATTGAACCATAAACCGCCATATGTATTGAGTTCATTGTAAAGCGTTATCTTTTGTGAAGGGTCACATTCATCCGCACAGTCACACAGAACAGAAACACAAACCAAAACAATGTTCTTCCACAAAATGCATGCAGTTTTGATTTTTTTTAACACCTATAAAGGGCCAAAAGTAACATTATGTATTTTCAACAAGCTGAAAAAGATTACGCTTAAAGACAACAATGCCGAGCGAAACACGATATTCAATGAGAAAAAAATAGATTTTGAAAAATATGCCAGGAAGTTGGAATTGGAGAGAAAATGATGACATTCTGATGAAAGATTGCAATCGTG